TGTCATAGTTAAGTGGTAATTAAGGAAGAGTAATATCAAAGGGACAGTGATTATTGATTCAATTGGTAATACCTAATCAGTATTTCAGCCTTTTCCTTTTGTTTCCTGTCAGAGATCAGATTCTTCATCTGAAAGCTACTGTGCTACTGGATCATCCAAAAGTACAATTTATTTCACAGCGTTGAGGACTGGCATGCATTCTCTGAATCAACAACCTGCCATTAACTTGGCTCATGTTGGAGCTCACGGTTTTGCTACAGAAAATATTATGGAGGGTATGTATGACTACGTTAGAAATAGTTAAATTTTTTTTCGTGACTTTTTTACATCCATTTCCTTAGAAATTATGCCTAGCACCTCTTGGTTTGTCTTTGCTCCTGTCCTCTCCCCTATCCTGAGTGTTAAAAAGTATTTAAATTACAGAAGTAATACATGCATTTTTTTTTACATGCATTTTTTTAAACAATACTGAACATTATCAAATAAGAGTGTTGCCTCTGTTCCTCAATTTCCTGACTTCAATCATTGTATGATAGTTAACAATTTAAGTATTCTTTTTTTTTTCCTTGAGGTGGTTTCACTCGTTGCCCAGGCTGGAGTGCAATGGCAGGATCTTGGCTTACTGCAACCTCCACCTCCTGGTTTCAAGCAGTTCTCCTTCCTCAGCCTCTCAAATAGCTTGAATTACATGCATGCACCACCACACCCAGCTAATTTTGTATTTTTAGTAGAGAGGGCTTTCATCATGTTCGTCAGGCTGGTCTTGAACTCCTGACTTGAGGTGGTCTGTCCTCCTCAGCCTCCCGAAGTGCTGGGATTACAGGTACGAGCCACCACGCCCAGCCAGTTTTAAGTATTCTTAGGCCAAACATAGTGCCTTACGCCTGTAATCCTAGCACTTTGGGAGGCTGAGGCAGGAGGATCCCTGGAGCCCAGTAGTTCAAGACCAACCTGGGCAACACAGAAAGACCCTTTCTTGGCCGGGCATGGTGGCTCATGCCTGTAATCCCAGCACTTTTGGAAACTGATGCCAATGGATGACCTTAGGTCAGGAGTTCAAGACCAACCTGACCAATAAGGTGAAACCCCATCTCTACTAAAAATACTAAAATTAGCAGGGCATGGCACCTGTAGTCCCAGCTACTCAGGAGGCTGAGACAGGAGAATTGCTTGAACCTAGGAGGTAGAATTTGCAGTGAGCTGAGATTGTGCCAGTGCACTCCAGCCTGGGCAATGGAGTCTGTCTCAAAAAAAAAAAATGAAAAGCCCTCATCTCTAAAAAAGCAAGTATTCCTCTTGAGCCTTTTGCACATTTTTTTTAATTGAGCCAGAGTATCACTCTGTTGCCCAGGCTGTAGTGCAGTGGCCAGATCTTGGCTCACTGCAACCTCCACCACCCAGGTTCAAGCAATCCTCATGCCTCAGCCTCCCAAGTAGCTAGGACTACAGGCGTGTGCCACCACGCCCAGCTAATTCTTCTGTATTTTCAGTAGAGACGGTTTTTCTACATTGGGCAGGCTGGTCTTGAACTCCTGACTTCAGGTGATCTGCCTGCCTTGGCTTCCCAAAATGCTGGGATTACAGGCATAAGCCACCTTGCCTGGCTTGAACAATTATATATACATACATACATAATTGAGATACACATGATGTACAAATTATACACACATAGTTGAGATACATCTTATTAAACTCATACTCAATTCTTATGGAAGAAAAACAGCCTCAGTTTGTAGCCATAGTCTATTAAATATTAATAGAAAAAGAAAAGATACTTTGTGTGAGCTGTAGTTTGAGAAATGACTGACCATCCTTATCTTTGTATTCATGTTTATACACATCAACTTTTATGTCTAAAATTGTAGGTAACTTGCAGTTGAATGATAAACTATTAGACTGGCGTATCCAAGTTTTACAACATTTAACAGTGATTAACTGATCTTTCAATTTCTAATACAGGAGCTGAACAATCTTTTGAACAGCTTCTGCCAGAATGCTCTTCACAGGAGGGGAGCCAGCATGCTGATCTACCAAGTATTTTTAGCATTGAAGCAAGAGATTCTTCCCAAGGCATGAAAAATCAGAACTTTCCCTCTGAAGAACATACTGAAATATTACAAAACAGGAAGAAAAGTGTTCATTTCCAGCTTTCTGTAGGAAATTTAAGTTCAGTCTGCAGTTCATCTGATCAGTTAAATGTTCAGCATACCACTCCATGTGGTTCTAACTGTAGTGAGTGCTCAATAAAACACCAACTAGAAAGCAGAACGCAAAGGATGGGCTTTGAAGAACTACCAAAAAGAGGGGTTGTTACGTTACAAAGTCAAGGACTCACTGAAGATAATAAAAATGAAAGCTGTCGGGTTTTAGACATACATCCACAGGCAGAGGAAACGGATTCTCGATTCTGTGTAAGAACAGCGGAGATGGGAACTTCAGTTCAGGCACCATATTCCTTAACTACTCAAAAATATTCTGAGAATTCAACTGAAAGAGACATTCCAAAAATCACCAATAAACTATCTGAAAAAGAACATTTGGAGCTTTTTGCAAGTTCTGGATCATTTTCATTGCAGACCTCTATACCAGTCTGGGTAAGTGAAATCAGTGTTGTATAACATTAAAGTTCCTTTTTGGGAAAATTATTTTCTTTTAATATTAGAGATGAGGATCTCGCTGTTACCTGGGCTGAATTCAAATTCCTGGGATCAAGGGGTCCTCCTGCCTCAAATTCCTAAGTAGCTTGGACACACAACATGCCTGGCAAGAAAAAATTGAAATACAAGCAAAACTTAAATATTCCCATCAAGCTTGTGATTACTGCAAATACCTAGCAAATCGAAGAAACCTAAAATTTTGAAAGCTGTCTTGAGAGTATTTTAAAAAGATCCTTTTTCCAACACCCCTGAAAAATGGTGGCTCTGCCTATGATTGATTCAGCACTTTTTCAGTGTTGAGCCTCATTGCAGTGCACTGAATTCATCCATTATTGGAATAAGTACTGTTATTAACACTGTTCCTCATACCAACTAACTCAAGTTTATCCTTCCACAAATAAATGTAACACATCTGTTTGGCTGCTTTTGTTCTCATTCAGTGTTTAGCAGTCAGTGGTTCCCATTTGGTAGCCACCCAGGGATATCCACTCCAGTTCTGCACAGCTCCAGCCAACCTGTATTTATTTTTGCCAAACACTACAAGCATTTAGGTTTGTAATCAGTGTCATACTATTTCACCCCCCTCCCTAACGTTGGCTCCAGTATTTCTACAACTAAATGTTGGAGTTAGGGAAGCCTAATGAAATCCCCAACTATTGCTTGTTTTCCTCCATTAATGTACATTTTCACATTTAGGTACACTTGTGCAAATTGTGCATTATATACAAAATGAATATGTAGGGCTTTTTTTTTACTGTTTTAAGGCTACTTTAATTTGACATGGTTTTCCTTTTAATTGTGCTTCACAGGAAACAGAATCTGGCCATGGTATAATGGAAGAGCCAGAACTTACTTTAGTAAGCACCAGTGATATCAGTATTGCTGAAATAGATTTTGCAAATTTAACCTTAGAAGAAAAGGGAGAGGATGAAGCAAAAAGCTGTTCACAGGTAAATTTAATCATTCCTTATATTTTAGCCCATTATGAGCAAACCAGTTGACTGTCTCTTATCTGATAACTTCAATTATCAGATGTTACTTACTGGAAGGGATTATGCTATGGACTTAAATTTAGTTCAGGGCTCCAGTTTAGTAGACACCTTAAGACCTGACACCCCCCACCAGCTGTCATTTGTCTTAAGCCTTCATCTGTCAATGACTGTGCATTTTCTTTTAATCCGCACTCCAAATTATGCAAGACTCTGGCAGAACTAATTTTGTTATACAACTAGTGTTATGGTGCCAAGTTGGAAATTTTATCTAAACATATTTTAAGATACTGCAAAATGGCTTTGGAACTGCTAATTTTACAAGGGTAATTAGGGAGGCAATAAGAGGAATAAAAATCATTGAATTTTCTCGTGCTACCTAAACAGAGCCCTAGAGGTGTGAGGGCAGTGGAGGGTGAATTGTGTGAGCCCAGAAGTTCAAGACCACCCTGGGCAACATGACAAAACCCCATCCCTAAAAAAATACACAAAAATTAGCTAGGTGTGGTTTAGCTGTAGACCAAGCTACTCAGAATATTTAAGCTGCAGTGAGCCGTGATAATGTGACTGCACTCCAGTCTGACAACAGAGCAGGCCCCCTTTTAAAAAAATGTGTTATTTAAAAAAATGTAATAAAACTTTATCATTAGGTGAGTGAGTTTCTGCCTCTTGTATCGGAAACAGAAGGCTCAGATTATCCAGCTGTATCAGAACTTTCCATAGAAAAACCAAAGACAGCATCTACAGGTAAGCCTTTTATGGGCCCCACACTTCCAATATAAAGTAAACACTTTGCCTATTCCTGTCGTTAAGTTTTTTCTCCCAACAGAAAGTCCTCCAAGGTTTACACCTATATCCGGGAGCTTACAAGAAGCGTTTATAAACAGAAAAAAAACATTTATGGAGAGATCCCACCAGAGGCAAAAAGAAATAACAATCAAAGAGAAACCATCTATAGGTATGTTGAATTTTTTAAATCTTCACCACCTCCCTGAAATGTTTAAAGCCTGATTATAACTTGATTTCACATTTCTTTCCTCAGGTTCATCTGTGAGTCATCTAAGGGGTGTGAATAAAGTCAGAGCACTTCCTGAAGACAGAAAGACTACACAGGCTCTCAGGCACCAAAGGAGTCTAAGGTATTGTTGGTTTTTGCAGCGAGTCATGTTTTCTGCAATGTTTGTCTCTAACTCTATAGAAATTCTTTACAGGTTATATAATCAACTAGCTGAAGTGAAACAACAAAAGGAAGAAAAAGCAAAACAAGCAGCTTATGCCCAAAACAGAGCAAGGGCAAAAGAATTCCATAAGGTGAGTATAACTTAGGGGGAGAAACCTAATTTTAAGCCTGAAATACGCAACTGTAACTGCAAAATTTTTATTCCTTCCACAGAAAACATTAGAGAAACTTCGAGCCAAAAATACATGCTGACTTTTAGAAACAGTGTAAAGAGTTTTTTTTTTAATTGTGTATATTTAAAGTCAATAAATTTTTATTCAAGGAATTCCATGTTGTGATCTCTTCCACTGTCCATCAGAGTCACTTTAGATCCTCTTAGCCCTGAAGAAGAAAAATTTTGATTAAAACTCTTACATGGCAACAATCATGGATTATTAAGTAAGTTTTGTATCTCCTGGGGAAAACATAGCACCAACATAAGAGTGCTATGGCATCCTATAGAGAACTTCCATCTTTGGTCACAGCGTGAAGAGCTCTGGGTTTCACAGCCTCATGAGCCCTCTTTGAAATGACCTATACAAATGTCTTTTCTAATGCATATGTACCTTTTTAATGAAGCTGATGCTTGCTTTAATCCAGTTGTCCTGTCAGCCCTAAATAGTAATAAAAGTAAATTTTACATTTCCAGAGATGATTGTACACAGTGAGTGAACATGAATGAGTCCTAGAACCAGCCTAAGCTAACTCTGGTACATACAAACTGCTTAGTTATTAGCAATCCACAAGAGTGACAATACAGAGGCAAAGCACATCTGCATGATTCAAGAGATCTAGGCTGCACTGCCTAAAGAATTTTAAAATCTCATTGATACTAGGGAAAAAAAAAACATGTGGCTCACATTATATTTGTATTGCATTTCTATTACAGTTAATCAAATGTTCCCAATAGGCTGATTGCTAGCAAGGTAGCAGATATAAAACCTACTGGGAAATTTTTTTTATGGTCATGTCCACAGCAAATTAGAAACAGCATTCTAAAAGCCTTGGTAATGACCATTACGCCCTTGAGCAAACAGCTGATATTAAGATAAAAACCATTACTTGCCATTAATTTATTTTGGCTTCTGTCATCTCCTTTTAATACAGATATACTGATGAAGACTTCAAAATTCACCTATGGAAAAATGTTTATCTCAAATTAAGGTCATTTTTAATCAATCATCCCATGCCCATTCACATCTGAATTTGCTCTGTGATCACATTTCTGGCAACTTCTCTTAGAGCTTTATAATCTTCTCAAATACAAGGAAATATTTAATGTAAATGGATGTTCAGAAAGGCCATTTTCATTCAGCCCATTCAGAGCAGTTGAACATTTCGCCCATCATCATAACATCATTAGTAACGAAGTTTAAACACACAGTAACATAAGCGTAGTCTTTTTTTACTCCTAAGTGGTGATAAGCTGACCACCAGATTTGGTTCCAAGCATTACTAGATAATAACCTAAAATAACATTTTTAGAAAAGCTAGTATTCAACAAAATAACCTACATGGCCTTTTAAGTAATGAATTAACTTACCAGGAATCTTTGGGATCTACTTTCTTCAACCAATTTACTTTAGGGTCCTAGAAGTTGAACTGTACAAAGAATAATTATATTTTGACACATGATCTAAGACACAGTCGTACCATATTACAATGTTTCAGTCAATACATAACCTACAAACAGTGGTCTTATGAGATAAAAGTTGAAAATTCCTTATTTAAATGTTTAACACTTTTCTCCTACGTATTTTACTCATAAGCATAGCAAAATGTTACAGGTCTCATTGTCACCACTGCAATATGCATACAGTGGTGGAAGCATAACCTGTCTCAATTTAGCCACATTAACTATTTTTGGACACCATGATCAGCAGTGCCCATTCTCATCTAGAATGAGGCTTTGTAAAAGTTCCTTTCAAGCTCTGTAGTGTATTTGTATGAAGTTCTTGTTATGCTGGCAATGCTACCTATCAACAGGGGGAAACAAGTAGAATCAATATAAACAGAGAATCTTACCTTTTTATTGTAGGTGGTGGATCTGCCTGGTTCCAATTTGACACCCTGGAAAAAGAAAAGCGCTGCTTACTGTTTTAGAGTATATCAGAATGAACACTCTGAGAAACCTATACAAATACTGTATCAATAGAAATACCAGGTTTAACAAGCACAAAGCCAAGAAAACCAACGATGCCAGATACTGAATTTCTATAGCACTGACCTTTGAACACCCTAGCAGGAATAAACTGCTGAGTGCAGATACCATGCAGTGCAATAATAACTGAACTGTACAACTTTCGTAGCCCCAAATTTGCAATGTTGCTGCTGAGAAATGCTTTCACAAACCTCTCAATTTCAGATTCCTCTAACAGGTTCAATATTTTGACCTTTATTCCTAATTGTCAGTGTAATACAGAAAACTACATTAACTGCATTTTAAAGCTACAACTCTCTTTGCCCAGTCTCTCTATAAAACTTACAGATGGAATACATACATGTAACTTAACAGATATTACAAACGTCAAGCTCATTTAGAGACGAGGTTTCATCGTGATAGCCAGGATGGTCTCAAAATCCTAACAGGTGACCTGCATGCCTCTGTCACCCAAAGTGCTGGGATTACAGGCATCAGCCACGGTGCCTGGCCACATCAAGCTCACTGTTGCTCAAACTGCAAATTAGGCAAAATTTGTTTAGATTCAACATATCCATCCCGGTTTACATGACTTCAGGATGAAATACGTGTAACTGCCAGTTGAATAATGATGCAAAGAAAAGTTTCATTTGGTAGTCTAGACAATGCAGTCTTTTCATTTATTTCCTTCTCTATATAAATTTATATATAAGGAAATCTGCCCATTTCTATTATACTAAATCTTGCATTAAACCATGACATCCTCTACCTCATTTTAGATTATGCAGATTCAAAATAATGCTGTATGCTTCAAGTAGAAAATCCATATATAAAAATTTATAGTAGATACATAGTGATAAATATTTTTGCCAGTATCTAATTCTGTGTTATACCTGAAATATTGGGATGATGTACTTAACTTCTATTTTTCATTTTCAGTCCTTGACTATTATAAGTTAAATATTTTACTTACCTTTCAACATGAATGAGTTCAAATCATATTCATTCCTATAGAAAGTACCAATTAAAGATTTAGAAAGGATACCACATTTCTAGTTACTGAAACTAAAATCCAAATAAAAATTTAAGATCTAGTTTATAATGTAACCATATCCAGCTCTATCAGAATTAAGTTTTAGTTCATGCCCATATCATTCAGCAGTTGAACAGTTAAATTCATCATCTGAACTGTAATCATATTTCCCAAGATGATACTGTCACCAATTAAAACTTACCTAAGCATTTACACTCAAGAATAGTACAGGTGTGGAAATATGCCAATACCTAAGGTGAAAAAGTAGATTATCAGGTCTTTCATACATTTAGTAGCTGTCATTTTTAAACTTTTAGCAGCTGTCTTGCCATTCCTTTCCACAGATCTAACAATAGTCCTGTGAGTAAGGTAAACCACAGAGTTACTCTATGAGGCGTTTCCAACGACGTGCAGGCTACAGGAAAAGCCCCGTCGGGATAGACCTCAACCACTATACAAAGTGTTTTTTTAAAGACACAATATCTGCCATGTCTTTTAGAAAATCATGTAATTCTTGCTGAATCATTTAAGCCCAGGGGTTTGAGGCTACGGTGAGATCTACAGGATCACATCTCACTGTAGTCTCAAACTCCTGGACTCAGTGATTCTCCCGCCTTAGCCTCCAGAGTAGATGGAGACCACAGGCACCACTGTGCCCAGCTAGTATTTATATGTATAAATAACGGAAGTCTAACACTACTCTATAGGTATGAGCAGAAACTGCGATATGCCCCAGTCTCTTACAATACTGCAAACTGCAAAAACTTTCTATCATGTTAATCACAAAAGCAATCATTTCACAATCACATTGTCAGGATTTTCACCAAGCTGCTTAGGAGCCAGAGTACAGAATGATAAATAAAAATGTTAATTCTTGGCTCAGTCACATCATGACTTTGGCATTATATAACTTTTAATCAAACTCTACATCATTCAAATTTATGAATTCTTATGACCTGTGTAATTATTTTTTTGAGACGGAGTCTTGCTTTGTCACCCAGGCTGCAGTGCAATGGCAGGATCTTGGCTCACTGCAACCTCCATCTCCCGAGTTCAAGTGATTCTCCTGCCTCAGCCTTCTGAGTAGCTGTAATTACAGGCCCATGCCACCACACCTGGCTAATTTTTGTATTTTTAGTAGAGACAGGGTCTCATCTTTTTGGTCAGGCTGGTCTCAAACTCCTGACCTTGTGATCCAATCACTTTGGCCTCCCAAAGTGCTAGGATTACAGGCATGAGCCACCGAGCCCAGCCCATTTCTATTATACTAAATCTTGCATTAAACTATAACATCATCTATCTCATTTTAGATTATGCATTAATTCAGAATTATGCTGTATGCCTCAAGTAGGAAGTCCAAAGTTCTGATTACTGCCACAAACTAACAAATTCAGAACCCTCTAATGCTTGCAACTAAAATGAATCTGACACATCACTATAAAATGTGTGAATCTAACATTCCTTTCTTTTCAGAAACCAATTAACTGGGAATTAAAAGCATGCTACAGTTTTCTCTGAATAAAATGAAACTTGATTGCCCTGACAACGCACTATTGATTTTCTACACATAAACAAATACAATCTGAAAACTAAAATTGAGACATACCTTTAACTCCAGACATGATGTTCTCAAGATAAAAGCCTTTAAAACAAAAAGCCATCTTAGGTATCAACGTGAAATTGGAATGCAAAGTAATACTGCTGAAGATTTCCTTCATATCCCCTCATGTTTATTCTACAGTCCGAGAATCAATCTTTCTAAATTAAGAGACACGGTCTGTCTTTGTTACCAAGGCTGGAGTACAGTCAAAGCTCAGTTCAGCCTCCCAACTCCTGAGCTCAATCCTTGTGCCTCAGCCTCCCCTTCCTGAGTAGCTGCAAGTACAGATACATGCCCCAATACCCAGCTAATTTTTACATTTTTGTGGAGATGAGGTGTTTGTTACTTTCTTGCTCAGGCTGGTGTTGAACTCCTGGCTTTAAGCAATACTCCCACCTGGGTGTGGGGGGATTCCAAACTTGAGCCACTGCACCTGGCTATCAATACTCCCATCATAATATCCCTTCTTATATGTATCAGAACTCATACTGAACAATGAGTTCTGGGTTGCAAAAGAGGATTTATTTTTTGCACCTATCCATGTCTTTGTCCACAAGTTAAACAAAAACATACGTAAGTGCAGTCCTAAGATGCATTACATAGCATAGTTAGTTCTACCACGGTGATCAAAACAATGAGCATCAGGGTAATCATTGTGGTTCTCCCCACATACACATGTTAAATAAATGTGTGTGCCTTCTCTTGAATTAACAATAATTAAAAATGGTAGCAGAAAGTAATATTAGTTTGGGCGTGGTAGCTCACAAAAATAAAAAAGTAGCATTAATGATATTCTAAATTTGGGAAGGGAAATGAGGTTATTACAATACTAAGCATCTGACAGGTCACTTTCCTCTGAATAAAGCGGGGATAAAATTAAAACATTTCAAATACCCTCTTCAAGATGGTTGGGTGCCAAGTTATTTTATCTTTGTCTAACATTTCCTTTACAAAGTTAAGATCGCTGCACTTCATTGTTTCAGTGCTCATAGGACACCTGTAAGCTCTTAACAGAAATCAACTGATAATGTATTTTCCCTGGTGGGTTTTGTTTTTTTTTTTTTCCTAACTGTTACTACTTCTTCACGAGTTTGTTCCACAAACTTCTACAAGGGGTTAAAAGATTTTTGTTATAAAGTTGGTTTGAGAATTTCTTCACCACCAGACTGGTACATATATCCACATTTATCATCTTCATTCATTTCTATGAAGTCACTTTTTTTCTATATGCTTCACCTTTGACATTCATGATTCTGTCACATTTTCAGGCCTCTCTGTCCAGTATTTTTGGCTTTTGTAGCTCTCTTTTTAGACAAAGCAGCTTCTTCAGTAGTATCCTCTTCTTCTAAGTATACACTCAGTCTTACAGGGAATTCAGAACTTACTATGAAACTATCCCCCTGCATAAAACAAAACAAAAATTACAGATTAAGCAATAACTCCAATGGTTTAGTAATTACATATAGCGAAGTGCACTGGATTACTTCAGATAACCTAGAGACTTCATGTGGATGTCAAAAATCCAAATATCTGCTTGTTTTTTCATTTGATATCCTAACTAGCAATATCACATATTAAAATGTTATTAAAAATAGTACTGAAAACCCCATATTATTTTTATCAAGTTTCTAAAAAATTACTATTTTCCTTCTTGTATTTCCTGCGGTAAACTTACTCAGCTTTTCAAAAAGGTTAACGAAGTGTAATACAAAAACTAAATACAATTCCTCCTGTACGTACCAACTGCTGCGTTCCCAAAATGGAACAGGAAAAAAATAGGTCACTTACTGCCAATTTGATATCACATTCGTCATCTTCAAGGTGTGTTGCATCCTCATCTTCTGCTCTGTAATATTAAGATTTATCATCATTGAGATGACAGAATCTTCTATGACCTAATTAGTTCTTATATTCCACTCTGAAATACAACTGAAACTGCAATACTAGTCAAAAGAAACAAAACATAGAATTTCTAGATGTCTTGTGTGCCAAATTTGGCTCAAATATAACAATCCCAACAGTCCTGCTCTGTATCTTTCTCATTATTGAAGTATAACTGTATTAAAGGCAAAATATGAAGCAATTAACACAAAAATTTAAATAATGTTATAACCCATTACCAAAGTATTTCACAGGATTCCACTTACGTTGACTCCTCAATAGGAGAAATGGATCCCTCATCATCCAAATATTTGTATCTACGACTATCAAAATCTTCATTTTCTAAATCTTCACCAACATTCATTTGTTTCAAGGATTCTTTCAGATGGTGTTCATATTTCAGTTTTTCAATGTAGTTAAAAAATCCTCTTGCAACAGCTTGCTATATATATTAGAAACATCATATTGTATGTCATGACTTAAGGTTTTTCTTTCATGACCCACCAGGTGCCTATGTTCAAAAAGGGCAACAAGCACCTTACCAAAGATTATCTTAATTTTACTCCCTACTTGCAGACATGTCAAATGCTGATCATTAAAATTCACACTGCAATTATAAACTTTAGACCTAAGGTGGTACCAAGGAAAAGTGAAGTACATATCTTGTCACGCCTGGGACTTACAAAAACAGGAGTAAAGTTTTTTGTTTTTAGACAAGAGTGTTGCTTTTAGTGCAGTAGCTCGATCTTGGTTCACTGCAACCTCCGCCTCAAGGGTTCAAGCAATAATTCTGCCTCGGCCTGGGACTACAAGTGTGTGCCACTGCACCTGGCCAATTTTTTATATTTTTAGTAGAGAAGGGGTTTCACCATGTTAGTCAGGATGGTTTCCATCTCCTGACCTGGTCATCTGTCTGCCTCGGCCTCCCTCCCAAAGTGTTGGGATTTACAGGTTTGAGCCACCTCACCCAGCCAGGAACAAGATTTGTAATGTTTACTATAACCACCTTAAACTTAAGAGATTAATATGTATTAATCCTCCCAAATAAAATTTCAGATTCTGAAAAGGGATGATAAATTAACTCTGCATTCATTCAACATCCAACTCTCAAATATTTAAAAAATCTACTCCTAAGTATTAGGGTGTCAGGCTTAGAATTATCTAGGCCCTAAGAATATAACCACTGAACATGAGGCATGTGTGGGTTTAGTTTAAGTTACTGCAAAAACATTTTCAAATTATGTGAGCTTTTGTTATCCCCACTGAGATCCCAGGAAACCATTTGAGTTTTAGGGTTGTGTTTAAAGACCTGAGATGGGATGAGATCAAAGGATTTTATACAAAAAGCCTTGGAGCACTATCTTTTAAATTTAGCAAAAATGTAGTCACTGAAGAGATAAAAGTTTCAGTTGAAGGATGGGGTGGACTTTAGGGGGAAGTTAGTGTAAGAGTATCAAAACTGCAGACAGTGTATTGCCAGTATATCTTAAACAATTCTAAATTGGCCAACAAATCATTTTGGGCATTTATGTGTATACATATATATGTAAAATGATGACTCACCTCAAACGTTAAAATTTTTTTCCAAGGTGGCTTTTTTTCATTCTCTGATTCTAAAAATGGGAAGCCAGGTCCTCTACTTCTAAACTGTTTCTTCTTATCTATCAGCGAGCATAAAGGATTTCTCCTTCCTTCTGGTCTTCCCCTTGGTCTTCCTGTTGGCTGGTACCTCTTTTTCTTTTTTTTGTACCTCTTTTTCCTGTTCTTGAATCTTTCAAAAATAGCTTTCATGGTCAATGGTATTGGTTCAAAAGATGAGTCACTTGATGAATCACTTGCTTGAACATTTCCAGGTGTACGAACACATTTTCTAATGGGGTTTCTTTGCCCCCGTTTAGGTGAGTAAGGGACACACTGAGTTTTAAATAAGCTGCTATCAGAAGAGTTATCACTGGAAAAATGGAAAAATAATTTCATTTACTTTCTTACTGAATACCAGTAATTACTTACCAGTAATACCCAGTCCCAAATGTGCATTTCTTCCAAGACCAACTCGGGAAAACATGACCAGAATTAAATTTTTTTTTAAAGGATGGACTCAGAACCAACCATCCATTAAACTCCTAACCACCCTATTTAAATAGCCCACAAAGCCACATCTCTTATTAAGAAGAATTTTGTGGACATCGTCTTGCTATCACCCAGACTAGAGTGCAGTGGTACAATTACAGCTCACTGCAACCTCAAACTCCTGGAACCGGGGGCATGCTCCTGTCTCAGGCTCCCAAGCAGCTAGCTAGGACTACTGGCAAGCACCACTATGCTCATCTTATTAAAAAATCATGTATCTTTCAAGATAATGTATGAGCTCAACCAAGGCTGCATGGTTCACTGCTAAAAGTGTCAGAGTAAAACAGAGCCTGCCATACAAAAACAGGATGATGAAGTCCAGAAGAGACCCAAAGAATAAACATTTTCTCTAAGAATGTGTCCCATTCACTTTTTGAATTAAAACTATTTGCAATAGTATTATATCAATCTATATAAACCAGATAAACTTGGAAGGTCAGTGAGATCTGGTTTTCCTTCTTTCCCAATTCCTGAAAATTACTGTAATTCATTACATATAATAATTTAGTTTCTCAAAGTAATTCAGATACAATATGACTGAATCCACTCAGTTCTCCAGTAAAAATCCACTTACCTTTGATTTGCAAGTTCCATAGCATCAGATGTTACATGGTCAAGAGAGTCTATTCCTGATTTATTCATCAGTTGCTCTGTTTTAAAGTTTTCTGAAATTGTGAAATTTAGTAAATGTGACAAAGCTTCCCTAAATATTGACACAGTATCTACTATAATGTTCGACACAGTCAGACTATGCCATTGATTTTAGGCAAAATCATTTACCGGGCTTAAGCTGCTTATGCATTTCAGATCAATTTCTTAAAAAAAAAAAAATCCAGAAATTCTATTTCCAGATTTTCAGTTTTTACCCTCTATTCAATGCAACAAGATTCCAAAAAAGGACTGTCACTTCCAACAAAAGCATCTTTCAATATAAAGTTTTATCATTGGCCACATATTAACATATAATTACCAATACAGTATTAATATACAATTAAAAGCCATTTTCCAACATCGAAGGGGAATTCCTAAGGCAAAATGTGCCCTATATAATAAACCAGGAAAACGATCTCCATTCAGTAGACCATTTTAAACTCCTGATCACGTCTCCGTTGTAATTCCAAGATTCCTCATTCATTTCTAGATTCATTTAAGTAACTTAACTTTGTCATACTGTATCTTTGCCATTATTAGTGGAAACTGACAAATTCTGAATTCTCAACTTTTCGATAAACTATCAATCAAAAAAACAAAACAAAAAAAAACCTATCATAATTGTCTCTTCATCTCCATAGAGTATACAACATACAAAAAAAAAAAGGCAACATACAAAAAAAAAAGAAAACGATTCCTTCTCGTAAGAAAGAGGTTGGTCAGAATGGCTCATGCCTGTGTAACCCAGCACTTTGGGAGGTCGAGGCGGGCGGATCACCTGAACCCAGGAGCTGAAGACCAACCCAACCCAGTCTCTACAAAAAATACAATAATTAGCCAGGCTGGTGGTACGCGCCTGTGGTCCCAATAAGGAGGCTGAGGTAGGTCGATTACCTGAGCCTGGGAGGTGGAGGTTGTATGTAGTGGGCCTCAGCAACAAAAGGAGCCCCTGTCTCTACAAAAAAAAATTCTTAAAATACTGGCTAGGTGTGGTGGCTCGTGCCTGTCCTCCCAGCCACTCTGGAGGATCGCTTTGCAGTGAGCCGAGATTGCACCAGTGCACTCCAGCCTGGACGACAGAGCAAGAGCCTGTCTCAAAATAAATAAATAAAATAAAGGAAAAATAATAGGCATGGCAACAAAAATAAAGATAACTACTTATTTCACTACTATCTTTGCCTTAATCATTCTCTTGTTTCATTCCGTAGTTTCTTGGGACGCGACATGAGTCATTACATATAAATCCTAGGATAAACTAGCAAAATATTTCAAATATAGGAAAACGATAAGGTCACCAAGAGCTCAGATTTCTTAAATGCCCAACGGACCCCTGTGGTAATTTCCTGTTAGAATGTAAGGTTTTAGTTTCTTAAGCACAAGATTCTACGAAGTCATTAAGTATCGAATGCTCAAAAACAGTATTCAACAAAAATCTGGTCCCATGCATTAATGGTATACTTGCGTTTTGTTTTTGTTTTTTTTTTTTAAGTAGGGATTATCAAAATAAAGCTAGCTCAATAATCACTTTATCTAAGTTTTCTGGAAGACACTCCTACTTAGGTGTGGATGCCTCTGCCGGGATTCAGCGATTCTTAAGAGGCCTCGTGGGCAGAGAGGGGCGCTTTACCCGGATCTATCGCTGTTATCACCAGCGCGTCTGTCCCGGCAGCGCCTTACCTCAAGAAAACCGGCGCTAGCAATGGCTATCTCCCATGTATGAAGGTTAAATCATTTAAATCACGTGAGGAGATTAAACTCGTTCACAACACATTTTAACACCTCCATCTCAAGATATAATGAAGGCCGCCCACACTGCGTTTGTGTGGGCCTCCAGCCGCTTGGCGCTGACGGGCCTGCAGCTGCGAACCCTTCACCCTCTCGGCCCGACCTCCGAGACTCGATCCTCCGGACCAACGCTAGGGCCGCGGAAAACCCCGTATCTGTAACGCCTCCCCCGGCTGCCAGGGCCGGACGGCCTTGCCCTCCTGTCTACCTACCCAAAACTGCCTCACACCGGCCCCAGCTGCGCACTTAGTGACCGTAACCCATGCCTCTGGCCAAAAACCCGCGACTGGCCTGCTGCGTGAGTCCTGAAGACCTGCACTCACCAATCTCCCGACCTCGGCCCTCCAACTCCCGAAAACCAGCTTGCGTCTGCCAACAGCGCAGAAGAAAAGGGTGTGCAATCCCCGCGGCCCAGATAATAGCGAGGCCGAAATCTCGCGATACGACTTAGCATCCGGGAAGTAGGCAAGCGGCGGAAGGAGAACTGGAGGCGGGTAGCCATTTTTCTTGCCGCGCGGGGAGGAGCGACTAACGTGGGCGGAGCTCCAGCTCGCGTTATCTGAGGAGGCGGGGTTGGCTGAAGCGAAGATCAGGACTCTGGTGTGGTCTTCCGTGACCCATTCGGTGAGTGGAATAGCCAAGAGCATTTCGGCAAATAACAAAAAGAAAACGTGAGGTCAATTGAGAGTGGGTAAGAACTGCGAGGAAACAGCCTCTCAGCCCAGTTCGTTGGCAGTGGCTCGCATTTGCTGAGCTGTCGCCTGGCTTTCTAAACCTGGTCCTGGGTGTGTGGCGAGGGTGACGGGTGGGATATGTGCGTGTTTTGTCGTACTGTGTCTGCTTTTGCCTTCAGACACCTTTGTGTGTTAAAATATTGGGAAGGCTCATCCTTTGACCATGACTCCAGGTGTGTAACCTTTGTGCTGGACGCCAGTGTTACTCCTTAGCACGCCCACTTTTGCACCTGTTTCGTGACCTCCCCTTTCTGCCTCCCGGAAGTTCGCTAACAAGTCACAAAGGAGACCAGTAGAGGATTTCTTTTTCCTGAGTTTCCTCCCACCCCTAGTTCCTTAACCAGTTCCTGAGTTAAGATTAAACCCTGTAAAGTGGTTTCGTGGGTTTTTTTTTTCCCCTCCCAAAGTAATTTTAAAAAGGAATGAACTGGTTTGATTTTTCCGCTTTCAAAATTCTTTTTTCATATGATAAACCAGTAAAGCCAGTAGAGCTGTCTAGTCTTAATTTATAGTGCACGGCATTTTAGGACTGGATGGGCCTTAAAAGTAATCTGATCTCTTTACCCTACTTTGCGCCATAACTTGGACAATTCCAGGTATAAAAAGTCCAATCCCTTAGGGAGTCCACTGCATTTGATCCACAGGGTCTGTGCAGTGACCAAGCTCCAATACTGGTATGACATGTCACTCACTGCCGTACTCAACAGCAAGCCTAGCTGTAACATTTAACTCATAATGCAGAATCACTGAACTGTTTCACATTTCATTTTGTCTGTCTGTCTGTCTTTCTTTCTTTTTCTTTCTTTCTTATTTCTTTCTTCTTTCTTTCTTTCTTTCCTCTCTTTCTTTCTTTCGACAGACTCTAGCTCTGTCGCCTAGGCTTGAGTGCAGTGGCGGGTTCTCAGCTCACTGCAACCCCCGCCTCCCGGGCTCAAGAGGTCTGCCCACCTCAGCCTCCCAAGTAGCTGTGACTACAGGCGTCCACCACCACACACAGCTAATTTTTTTTTTTTTTTTTTTTGAGACGGAGTTTCACTCTTGTTACCCAGGCTGGAGTGCAATGGCGCGATCTCGGCTCACCGCAACCTCCGCCTCCTGGGTTCAGGCAATTCTCCTGCCTCAGCCTCCTTAGTAGCTGGGATTACAGGCACGTGCCACCATGCCCAGCTAATTTTTTTTTTTTTTGTATTTTTAGTAGAGACGGGGTTTCACCATGTTGACCAGGATGGTCTCGATCTCTTGACCTCGTGATCCACCCGCCTCGGCCTCCCAAAGTGCTGGGATTACAGGCTTGAGCCACCGCGCCCGGCCACACACAGCTAATTTTTGTACTTTTAGTAGAGAACAGGTTTCACCATGTTGGCCAGGCTGGTCTTGAACTCCTGACCTCAAGTGATCCGCCCGCCTCAACCTCCCAAAGTGCTGGGAATACAGGCATGAGCCACCGCGCCCGGCCACATTTTGTATTTGTTTGTTTTATAGAGATAGAGTCTTGCTCTGCCATCCAGGCTGGAGTGCAGTTGAAGCAGGGTATTTCCCAGACTTCTTTGCGGGACTTGCGTCAGGGGTGCCTGGCTTACTCAGCCCGAAGCTCTCAACCCCTCGCAGGAGGGGGCGCGCGAGTGAATGGGGCTGGAAGCCAGGAACTCTGCTAACTCAGGCCAGCTGCGCTGCACCCCTCTTGCGGGGGAGCCTGGGGGTAAGCAGATGCTAGAGCCAGAGCAAGCGCTTTTGGGCACCAGCAGGAGCGAACTGCATGCAGGCCCCTCAGCAGCGTCTGGGGGATGCCCACGACCCCTGAAGATCCACAGCCTATCTCACAACCTGTCATGCTTGTGAAGTTTTAAGAGAATGTCTGCATAGTGTCTACTGGTGTCTGGTATATAGTGTGCACTCAAATGGTAATCAGTTTATTTGGGATAGTTGGCCTACCCCTCCAGGTGTTACCTCTGCAGCTCCATGTCCCTTCTAGATGCTATTTTTGGGCCATCGACTCCCACCAATTAGGCAGGAAAATATTGTTTGCCTCCATCTGGCACCAGACTGTGCTCCTGGAATTTATGTGAGAACCTAACTCCTTTCTCAGCTCCAACTCTAACGTTCTCCACACCTTCAACACACACATAAACACACACATACACATGCTACCACACTGCCTGCTGTGCTATCAGCCTGCCTGAAGTTCACATCATTTTAGGATTGGACAGGCCTTCATAATTTAAATTTTGGATGGGTCTTCATAATTTAAATTTTATTATGAAAAAGTGATAGTCTAAGGAACTCATTTAATTTTTGGCCTAAATGTCAACTATAGAGTAGGAAGCACAAATATCTGTTATAGAAATACTTAAGTCCTATGTACATTTAGACACTTATCCACAAACCCCTAATAAGTATCCCTAATAAGTACATTTCTTTTTTTTTTTTTTTAATCAAGTTATTTTGGTCAGAAAGTATCTCTAATAAGTACATTTCTAAACCAGTTACTCAAGCTACATCCTTCCAGGATTGGACTTTGTTCCTATTTTGATAGGGACATAAACAAACAAGTGACCTACTTTTTTACTAAAGTAAAGAGATAGTAAAGGGAATAAAATTAAGATTACATTTCAATTTTAACTTGTGTTTTTATCCCTACTGCCAGCGAAAGTAAATGTTTTATCATCATTATAAATGAATATACTATTCATTGTGCAGATTTTGACATATTCATAAATAAGTTATTACCCAATAGTTGCCTGATAAAGAATGTGATAAAATGTTAACATTTGGGAAATATGGGTGAAGAATATACGGGAATTATTTGTATGTAGTGTCTGTCAATATGAAATTATTTAAAAGAAAAAAACTGTCTCATTCCTGAACAATTATAAATTATTCAACCCAAAACTATGTTTAAGATATTTAAGTATGATTATATAAAATTTGAGATCCTTTATAAACAGTTATATATATTTTTTTTGGGAGATCAGATTACATCCATTAAATCGTGAACAGTAACAGCTAGTATTTGATAAAGTACTAAGACAAATATAGCATCATAAATGTATGCAATAGAATGGTTATAAAGGATATATTGTTGGAAAGTACCAGAACTAGAATCCCAGTTTCTAAGCAACCTATGAATTGCTGGAAAATTAGAAAATAATTTTGGGAGAATATTTCAAATGGCTGAGGATCACCTTTCACTTGTTAAATAAGCATGTTAAGGGCAGAGGCCATTCAGATTAATGAAGTGTTCTATTAACAATTTTAACGAGAACTCCAGCAGCACTCTTAGAAACACCCTTAAGAGTCTTGTCTGTGTTCCTTGTTGTGACTGGCCTGGAGGCTACCTCATATTACTTATATTTTTCCCTGACTTCATTTTATCTCCTCCTGCTTGCATACTTCATCACTGAACACTTGAGGTAAGATACTAATCTCTATACATATATACCTATTTGTTATAAAGTAGACTTAGCATATATTTTTATTTATCTTTTAGTTGCAAAGATAGAAAAGCATACTTTTAAATATCAAATTATAATGGGTTACATTATCAGATTGAACCAAGAAAATATGTTTATTTGTAAATGAAAATAAAAATTTGAATTTCAAAGGCTAATCCATTCCATAAAAGTTTCCATTTCTATTCATAATTTAAATTTTATTTTGAAAAAGCAATAGTCTGAGGAACTCATTTAATTTTTGGCCTAAATGTCAAATATAGAGTAGAAACACAAATACCTATTATAGAAATACTTGAGAGTCCTATATTTACTATTATCTGCAACCATTTAAACACTTATCCACAAACCCCTAATAAGTACCTTTTGCTTCAAGACCTATATTCCGTAGACCAACCGTTAGAAAATTGGATGTTTACTCCAGATATACGCTTTAAAAAAAAAGTGAATCAGCAGGAGCAGTGGCTCACATTTGTAATCACAGCATTTGGGGAGAGGGAGGGGGAGGATCGCTTGAGGCCAGGAATTCAAGACCAGCCTGGGCAACATAGTGAGACCCTGTTTCTATTTTTTAAAAAAATTCATTTTAGGCTGGGTGCAGTGCCTCACGCCTGTAATCCTAGCACTTTGAGAGGTTGAGGTGGGCAGATCACAAGGTCAGGAGATCAAGACCATCCTGGCTAACGTGGTGAAGCTCTGTCTCTACTAAAAAAATATATAAAAAATTAGCTGGGCATGGTGTGGTGGCATGGGCCTGTAGTCCCAGCTACTCAGGAGGCTGAGGCAGGAGAATTGCTTGAACCCGGGAGGCAGAGGTTGCAGTGAGCCAAGATCTCGCCATTGCACTCCAGCCTGGACAACAGAACGAGACTCCATCTCAAGAAAAAAGAAAAATTATTGAGACTTAGGAGTTCTCCAATAATAATAAAAAAAAAGAAGAAGAAAATAAAAATTAGTTTTAAATTTTAAATTAAAGTATTAAAAGGTCACTTGTCTGTTTCTCACTTCGAATATTAAATGTTAGAAGCTGCGTTTGCCTTTTTGTGAAGATAGAACCTAAATGCCGTTTTGTTCTTTTTATATGTTTCAATGCTTAATGTTCATTTCCAGAACAGAAGCTGTTCGTACTTGGTGCACTGTGGACTCTTGTGATAATTAACCAAGAGTAGCTCTATTTGTCCAATCGAATACCTAAAGAAGAAAGAAAATGGCTTGTATTGAGTTTTCTTTTCATGTGCCAAGTCTAGAAGAGCTTGCTGGAGGTAAAAACAATATTAACTTTGGATTTTTAAAAATTATCCCAAGAGAAAATTCTTTTAAAAAGATTCTAACATCAGGCTGAGTGCAGTGGCTCACATCTATAATCCCAGCACTTTGGGAGGCTGAGGTAGGTGGATTACCTGAGGTCACGATTTCAAGACCGGCATGACCAACGTAGTGAAACCTCATCTCTATTTAAAAAAAAAAAAAAAAAAAAAAAAGATTCTAAGATCTATCTATATCTTACTACGTACCTATATCTATCAAAATAATACTTTTGGTACAGAATTCATTTTCCTTTTCAGCATCTTTTCTGCCCCATTTTTATTGAGAAAGTCCAAAATTCTGTTCCTCCAAAAAAACTGAATTTATAATTTATATATTCTTTTTTCTTTTACTTATAGATTATTGATACCAACTTTACAAGATGAAAATGACTAGTAATCCAAGACTTAAGTGTGTGTGATGCCCAGAATCGAACAATTTTGCTTTAACTTTTTTCACTTACATTATTCTTTAAATATATATCCTACTCTTGTATGTTAATCATGTTCCCAATGTACTTCCCCTCCCCCACTGATAATGACAGACTGCCAGTGAACTTGCTTTGATTTCTGTCTGTGTATATTTTTATATATTTCACCTTGTTCAAACAAGTATTTAAGGCAGTTTCCCAAGATAAATTAGGAGGGAAGATAGGTTAAAAAAAAAGGAAAATAGAAACAGTACACAAAATGAAGCCAAGAATAGTACTAATCCAAAGCTGTAAAGTCTATAGAATACCAACCTTTATTTGACAACCTATAGGTTCTGTTCTGCTGGAAGCTATAGAACCTTCCCTTGTTTCTCAAAATGTGTTGTTCTGGTAGTTCATCTGTCATTCTGATGCGATTGAAGTCAAGAAATAGACTCATTTTTGCTTTGTTGTGACTTTTCCTCTTACAACCTTTTTCTCATCCTGATTGAATGGTAGCTAGTAAACAATCTGTATTGTTTGGCCTATATTTCTTCATCAGTCTGTCTTTCCTGATATGACAGGGCAGCTAGGAATTTTTTCTTTTTCTTTTTGTAGACTTAGGATCTTGCTATACTGCCCAGGATGCTCTTGAACTCCCGGCCTCACTTGATCTTCCTGCCTCGGCCACCCAAAGTGTTGAGATTATAGGCATAAGCCACCATGCTTGGACAAATTTTTTCTTTGATTGCTTTTCTAGAACCTGTTTTCACTTTTGTGTTTGTTGCTATTTTCCTTCTATATGTGCAAGATATGTTTAGTAAAAGTAGAAATTTTGTGGCTGGGCGCAGTGGCTCATGCCTGTAATCTCAGCACTTTGGGAGGCAGAGTTGGACAGATCACTTGAGGTCAGGAGTTCAAGACCAGCCTGGCCAACATGGTGAAACTCCATCTCTACTAAAAATACAAAAATTTGCTGGGCATGGTGGTTTGTGCCTGTAATTCCAGCTACTTAGGAGGCTGAGGCACAAGAATTGCTTGAACCCAGGAGGCAGAGGTTACAGTGAGCCAAGATCACACCACTGCACTTCAGCCTAGGCAACAGTGCAAGACTCAGTCTCAAAAAAAAAAGAAATTTTGTCAGAACTTTTAATCCTTAAAAGTACACTGGCCGAAGCAGTGGCTCACACCTGTAATTCCAGCACTTTGGGAGGTCAAGGTGGGCAGATCTCTTGAGCCCAGGAGTTTGAGTGCAGCCTGGGAAACAAGCCAAAACCCCATTTTTACAAAAAAATACAAAAATTTGCCAAGCCTGGTGGTGCCCGCCTGTAGTTCCAGCTACCGGGGAAGTTGAGGTGGGAGGATTTCTTTTTTTTTTTTTT